CTAGTGAACCTAATCTCTCTCTCTCTCTCTCTCTCTCTCTCTCTCTCTCTCTCTCTCTCTCTCTCTCTCTCTCTCATGCTGCCTTTTTTTTCTTTGCGTTGCCTTTGCGTGACACTCTTTTCCTCTTCGCTGCCCCTGCTCTGCTGCCATCTCTATCCGCCTGTCTGGCCTCCGTCCGTTGTTGTCTCTCCTCATTTCTCGCCTTCTCGTCCAACATACCTTGATATTTCTCAACCCAACGAGGTTTCGACAACCTGTCAACTAGTCTCATATCCTTGAGCTAGATCGTCACTCTTTTCGAATGGATGGCCACCTCGTTTGTGTTGTCGAAATTGGCGACTAGGTAAGCTTCGACAGCCTCCATCAATGCACGCACAACAGTCATCTGAAATCTCACCCCCACATCCCGGAGCGACGTCCTTCTCCACAATATGGCGCACGAACCGCATGAATGGCCTGAAAGTCATGCAAAGGTCAGTCGATCATTGCAGCTTTCTGATTTCTGTCAAAGCTGCCATCCCCGGGCGTCGGCGGCGTTTGGGGGTCCGAGTTGGTGCACCTGCTGTGTCACCGGTCGTTGCCACCGCCTTCTGATTGACTTTTTTTTTGGCGGCGGGCGTCTGTGCATGTGCCGGTCTAGACGTGCACATCTTCATTTTCCTCGGGCTTTGCGACATCCCCACATCGCTCGGGCCGCCTATGTCACATTGTGCTGCAGAACACTCTCTGTGGGGACGAGGATCACATGGCCCCTCCACCTCAGAAGACAAATGAGACATGTCTTGTTGCTGCTCTTTCCTCTTGCGTGGCTGCGATGCACCGGCCAAGTCGTCATCTGCCACGTACTGAATGTCTCAGAAGTCCATCTGAGTACGTTAGATGGAAAGGCACACCAAGCGGGTCTCTGAATCTCATGCGCACGTCTCCACCATGCTGAAATGTCATGGGGCAGACGACCGGGACCCAACCAAGAACTGTCGTCCGCCCGTGCTTGCGGCGAATGTTGGCCATGTATCTGTTTTGCATGCCGCCCTGCTCTTCGCCCCCATGACTCTCCCCAACCATGGACCACATCGCCTGGTCAGGCATGGAGTCATACCCTGCACACACCATCTGACGATCCTCCTCCCTGATCCTCTCCCAGCAACGCTTTGAGTATTCAACCACGAACATGTGGTCCTTTACATGTGCATTGAAAATAGAGACACGTGTCAGAACTACAAGGAACTGCCAATGCTCCACAACGCCTGCGTGCATCCAGCCCAATGGGGGCCAATGCCCTGATTGCAGTCGTGCCGCCAGCGTGACCTTCCTCGTAGTCACGTGGTCTCATATCTCCATGCATAGTCCATCAAACGTGGCTTCTCTCCCTCTTGCTTGCGTGTATGTGCTGCAACTGTCACCACTGAACACTTTCGCTTCAACCACCTCCACCTCCACAGTGTTCTAAAGCGGCGGGACGAAGCAGCCAGCAGTGTGGGGACGAGATGACATTGCCTCCTTCTCCTCGACTGTGACCTCTCTGTCCAGATGCCTGAAGGAGAAGTTGTCATTCACATAATGTGTGTTCCAGACATTTCCCATCGCGTCACGCATCATCATCCTCTCACGGCCATATGGAAATGGGATCGCAGATGGTACCCAACCCCATCGATGATCCTTTCTTGCCTCACTCTCTTGCCACGCCATACTCCTCTTCGCTTGGTTGTCACCAATCACCCATGGCTGTCCGCAATCAACATTGTCATACAAAAAATCTTTCATGCGGAACTCGCCCTGTGCCTCCAGAACACGCCACATTTGTAATCCACAATGTACTTTCTTCTGTGTCGTTGCCCCATCGTTCAACCTGAATAACCTTTCATACACGAATGACAGAGTTATGTTTCGCCATGTACTCTTCATGGGGGCAGGGTGAGGAACCCACGTGCCATCGACATTGAATGCAAAGCATGGTGCGCCTTCAACAATACCCGGCTGAACACGACCCAACACCCAATAAATGTCATATGGGTATTGTTCTCCTGCTGATGTCCTCATTACATGTTCGTCTCTGACAATACACCTCGTGGGAGATTCCCTGCTTCCCACACCTCCCTCCTCTCTGTCTTCCCCAACCTTCTCTGTCTCACAATTGCTCCATCCTGCATTATTCTGTGTGTCATGATCATCAACCACCATATCTGCAGTCTGTGCATATATTGTGGCAAACACTCGTGCACAGTCTGTGGTGTTCCCTCCCGCTCCACTAGTCTCGAGTTCAACCGAATTCCCTTCCTTTCCGCTATCTGCAAAACCCTTCAAAATGTCCTCCGTGTCCATAACGTTTGTCTCTCCAGCGTTGACAGTTGATACAATGACGGGTTCAATCTATAGCATGAGACGCCACATACATTCATGAGAACACGTCGCTGCGACATGGCCCCCTCAGCCGAGAGATAGATAGATAGATAGATAGATAGATAGATAGATAGATAGATAGATAGATAGATAGATAGATAGATAGATAGAGAGAGAGAGAGAGGGAGAGAGAGGGAGAGAGAGAGAGAGAGATTGATGCAGCGACGGATATACAGGTTCACTACTGCGGGCCAGAACGATAACAAACAGCGTCGATGGACACAGATACGTCACGCAGTAGAGAACCACATGTATTTGGACACGCAAAGAGCAGCGAATATTATACACAGATAAACAGGGATTAAAAACTTGTAATTTAGGCAGAAGTCAACATACATCATATATGGAGAGAGCGAGCGAGAGAGAGAGAGAGAGAGAGAGAGAGAGAGAGAGAGAGAGAGAGAGAGA